TGTAACTTATTGGAAATCTGAGTTGGCAGCTGACTTGGAAAAAAAAAGGGGGCCAGCTGCCACATCGACGAGCCGTTAGGGTTAGGGGTAATTACATAAACTTTATTAACGGGAGGGTGGGATTGAACGTAGAGTGAAACGGGGGACAAACGTGCATAATTCTAATAGTACAAGGGTAATAATGGCCTTTTTCCCTTTTTAATATAATATTAAGTGTGAGATTGATAAATTACTACTCATTTAACTAAATTAATTTTCTTCACTTAACTGATATTGTTTCTTAGCTTTTATTTTATAACTTAAATATGGAGTATAAATTTTTTTATATAATATTTATATAACTTTAAAAATAATAATAATCATTGAGTTGGGTACACGCGCAACGCGCGTCTATGTTGCTCGGACTTTCCGAAAATGCTGCCGCATCCGTGTCGAATCCTCCAAAAATGCACTAAATTTGGAGGATCTGACACGCACCCAACAACATTTTTGAAAAGTGTGAGTAACATAGACGCGCGTAGCATAAGACTAGTTAAATTTAAAAGTCTAAGTCCTTTTTAATTGATTGAAACCCTAATTTATGGTCTTTCCCAATTCTTTATCTTGTCTGCTAGTCTACTAATATCTCCCAAAAGCAACAAATATTCAAATTTATTTTACAAATATAAAGAGAACTATATCCTCCTTCGTAGCAGCAAGTTCAACGTTTAAATTGTAGGTCAGTCATCCTTTTTGTTCCTCAGTGTAGAAAACTTTATCCTTTTCGACTCAAGTTATTTGTGCTTGTAAGTAGCGTATAATAGATTGTTTTGACGAATTTTTTGTGGGGATGGAGCACATCTATATATATATATATATATATTACATATTTATAGCTTTCTTCAATTTTTATATAATTTTACCTATTTATAAATATTTACTGTAATTATATTATTTTATAAAAATATTATAAATTAAATACTCATGTGGCTTACGCCCCGTGCCTCAGGGCTTACGCCTCGTTGAGGCATATGTAAAACGTCTCGCCTTATGCCCACGTCTTTTAAAACACTGGATACAACAACAACCACAAAACCCCAGTTTAATCCCATAGGTGGGATATGTGGAAGGTAGTGTGTACACAGACCTTACCCCTACCCTATAAAGGTAGAGAGATTGTTTTCGATAGACTCTCGACTCGAAAAACTGTCAAAATAAAGCAACAAGCAATAACGACAACAATGTAATAGTGTAATGGAAGAGAATCGCACAAGAAGTAATAAAGAACCAGGAATAAGAGAATACAAGAATAGTACTAGTACTACTGGCAAGCCTAGGAGGAACTCACAACTACCTGTCAACCTACCACCTTATAGCCTGTTTGGCCAAGCTTCTAAAATCAGCTTATTTTGAGAAGTGTTTTTCTCAAAAGTACTTTTTTAAAAAGTGCTTTTGGGGAGAAACAATTTGTGTTTGGCTAATTAATTTGAAAAGCACTTTTAAGCAGTAATTAGTGTTTGGCCAAGCTTTTGAAAACTGCTTTTAAGTGTATTTTTCTCAAAAGTGCTTCTCAGAAAAGTGCTTTTGGAGAGAAGATACTTTTTTTTGCTTCTCAAAAACTGCTTCTGCTTCTCCTCAAAAATACTTTTTTTCCTTCCAAAAGCTTGGCCAAACACCTTAATTTTTGGCCAAAAGCACTTTTGGCCCAAAAAGAAGCTTGGCCAAACAGGCTATTAATCCTCGACCTCCACGGCTTTCTATCGTGGGTCATGTCCTTGTAATGTGAAGCAATGACATGTCCTGCCTAATCACGTCTCCTCGATACTTCTTTGGCCTACCCCTACCCTTCCCCGGGCCTTATGTAGTAGGATAAAAAATAAAAAATAAATAAAAAAGTAATGATCCGACAAAGGTTTGTTCGAGTATATATAGTCTAATTAGAGATTAAGTTCTATGTTTTGATAGCGTGGAAAAAATAATGCAATCAAATTCACTTATAAGTTAATTATAGGTAAATATTGATGATGAATATAAATTAGTAACCTAACAAAAATAGTAACTAAATGATATAACAGGTCAAATTATATTGCTAATATTAAAAAAAAAATCTTTATATTTTACGTGTATATAACTTAAATCCATGATTATATTAAAAGTAAAGTATAAGGAAGGAGTCTTCAAGTCCAAGTCATTAACAATATATACAAATATTATAAATCATAAATCATTTCAGAAACTCTTGTATAGATGTCAAATTATTTAAGGAGTTACTTTTCAAAATCCATCTCAATACCACCAAAGGATGTGGTGCATTGGATGGGACTGAGGTCTCGGGTTCGAGCCGTATGTATGGAAAAATCCTTGGTAGGGAGCGCTTCCCCTCGAATGGGGTCCTACGCGGCGCGAATCCGAATATAGTCGAGCTCCAATGCGGATACCAGACACCGGGTGAGAAACCAAAAAAAAAATCCATCTCAATATGTGATTCTAAAGTCAATGTCATCATCATTATTTGCATATAGCAGAACATTGAGTTTAAATACTTTTCAAAAAGGGAATATTGAATCGTACTACTTTGAAAATTCGTGATGCATAAAGCATAGTCGGAGATTCTTTTATTTAAGACAAAAAAGAGAAAAGGAAATATCTTGAAATTAATACTATGAGGAAAGTAAAAGAGGTTAATATGATTTATGAGGTTTAGTTGTCAGTTGCTATCTTGAAAAGTATAGTCAGGAACCTTTTCCAACTATAAGAACTAGCATCTGTTTCATTCAACGTTTTGAGAAATCTCTTTCGGAATGCATAAGAAAGATAGTAGGACGTGAAAAGGTTTAACTTAGGGGCGGAGCCAGATGTTCGGTAATGGGTTCGGTCGAACCCAATAGATTTAGTGAAAGGAATTTTTACCTTTTTATATACTATTTGAAACTTTATTATCAAAAATACCCATGTTTAGTTAATTACCCGACCTAAACAAGTTTTGTTTACAACATTCCATCTTAAAAGGCTCTCAATCCATTATTAGTGCATTCATTCAAGAAATTTACTTACACACTTTTTCTTTTTTTCCTCCTCTTCTCTTTCTTCTCTCCAGAATATTGGTACGGGATCCCTTCGGTACCAAATCTCCTTTTAGCTCCCCTCATCAAAAACAATCCGAACAAACCGAAATTACAAAGCAAACTTAAATTACAAATCACATACACGTATTCATAGACACATGTTTCTTCCGGTAAGACACATGTTTCTTCTTGCAAATCTATCATATGCGCTACCAAGTTGGTTTTCTGATCTTCCTCTCAATTTAAAGATTCTGAATCTCTCTAACAACCATATCAGTGGAAGAGTTTCTGATACCTCATCAAATATTTTCTGTGTAAGGTAATTTAGATATTGGAAATCTTTACCAACAGTAAGGCAAAATGGAAAAATCATCTTCTTTATACTTAAATTTTAAAACGAGTAAAGTGGAAATAACAGTGGTTATAATAGACTTAAAAGTATTTTCATACATTTTTTTACACAGTTAAATACAACTACAATATCATACACATTAAACATAAATTTTATACAATATGTCTTTTGAATATTTTGTAACTGATTTATACATAGTAAAAACAAATTTTATACAACTAATTATATATTATACAACTTATCTACAAATTTCACACATTATTTCTACCCAGTTATATACAACTATAATATCATACCACTTAAATATAATTTTTATACAAATTTTATACAATATGTCTTTTGTATATTTTGTATCTGATTTATACATAGTAAAAACAAATTTCATACAACTAATTATATATTCTACAACTTATCTACAACTTATATACAACTTTCATACATTATTTCTACACAGTTATATACAACTACAATATCATACAACTTAAATATNTAATTTTACTACAACTTTACTACAATTTCGTAAATATAATATATGTCATGTCGTCGTCTTCTTCTTCTTCTTCTTCTTCTTCTTCTTCTTCTTCTTCTTCTTCTTCT